GGGTTTCCCTACAAAATACTGATCAGCTTCAGTTTATATCTAGACATAGGGTTTTACGCGGTGTCCTATTTTGTGACAACAGCAAAATTATTGACGACGTCCTCTTGCACTGCTGTTACCAGGTTTGCAATAAGTATCGATTACAAGAAAATTATTCATATTTAAGTAAGCCTCACTTTCTACTCTATAAATACGTTAATGTAGTGTTCGATTACAATTTTTATATCTGTATCACAGTTCGAAGAAAAATTACCCGCGTAAAACCGAAATAGCATATCTTTTTGTTCACTACTGTATGTGCCTCGTAGGAAGCGTGGAATCCAATTTAAGGAATCACCTTGGCACGCAATATAAGCAGCAGGGATGTCCTGGTTTCTCGCAGCGGCAACGCAGTCAAACGCAGTGAAGCGCAGTGAAACGCAGCTGTCTGAACCAGGCTTCAGGAAGGTCATCCAATATTGCTTTGCTCTGCCGCGAACTGTTTAAACATTTGTGGAGGACGGAAAAGCGTTTCTTGTGGTTTCAGCTAAAGCTTCAGATAACTGGCAACCATAATTTTAAGACACAATATGGCCAAGTGTCTTTACTCTGAAGGGTAGCTTATTTAATGTCACTACTAGGAACTATAAAAGCAAGTCACTGAACGCGACTGCACGCTACGAGCCCTAGCACCAATCTCTCGCTTGAAAGTCTGTCATGGCTTCTAGTGAGTTCATGAAACGCAAATCGATTTTATTCCTGAACCTCTAGAACCATTGTCTCTAAAATTGCAAGCTGTGCTGTTCCTCGTCGTCGCTCAGGTGTCGAAGCAGCGGGACGGAGAGGGGGCCGTTCATCCATCCCCAGTGACATCGAAAGAGGGGCAATGGGCATAAATGGGTAAGGGGCGGAGGCGATGGCCCCAGGCCAAGACCATAGACTCCTATATTGTGACTAGACATTCCAGAAATGTATAATAAAAAAGCTTTCAGCTTTTCCACTGTTGTGAAGAAGACCAGCGAATCTGTACTATGGTCAGATGACCTCAAGGACGACTTCTTGGATGACGTCAAAGACGACGCCTAAGGACGGCGTCTAGAACGACGTCTAGGACGACCTTAAGGACGACTTCTAAGACAGCCTCGAGGACAACGGCTAGAGGAAGACCTCAGGGACGACATCTAGACGACCTCAGGGACGACGCCTAGGACGACCTGAGGGACGACATCTAGACGACCTCGAGGACGACGTCTATGACGACCTCAAGGACAACTTCTAGGACGAACTCGAGGACAACCTCAAGGACGACGTTTAGGACGACCTCAAGGGCGACTTCTAGGACGACATCGAGGACGACACCTAGGACGACGCATAAAGAAATTCAGCCTTTCCACTCTGGTGAAAACCAGAGTGGAAAGGATGGAAGGGTTATCGCCATCTATGAGCAAGGTCGCCAAGACGATTGTCTGGTTGCCGCCATCGCTCATAGATGGCGGTAGCTGTCGAGAGTTTTGTGTCGACATTTCTTTGCGGGGGATACGATCCTGGGGAAACTAGCCCTTAAAATCTCCGCTGTAAAAATTCGGGGGAAGAGATATCCCCCTTCTTAATTACCATCACCCCACCCCCTCCCCCTCTCTTTCTCTTTCTCTCTCCCGAACATTTTGTACGACTCTTCCTGACCCCTAGGTTGTTGTTGTTGTTTTTTTGTCGTATTTTTCTCCCGTTTCTTTTCCCCATCCCCCGTCGCCCCTTCATGTCTCGAACACTACCCACGCCACTACACACACCACTTCTGAGTGACTCCGATAGCGTTGTTGACAGTGGCGGAAGATGAGGTCTACCGCCACGTTCACCGAGCACGGCTCCACGATATCACAGAGTTCAATCTTCGCCTCGATTCCGAAGCAAAGATTTTGGCCTCAAATAACTCCTTCCCAAAGTTGTGAAACGTCTTTTTGTCGTCACCGATAGCTTCTACAGACGACAATATTGCGACGAAAAAGTTCAGAGTTTCCACAGACCGCCTAGGAACAATCTCGAAAGCATAGACTGTAACACGGCGTAGGGATGTAGGGACACGTGGGGGCGACGTCATCAGTGCAGCCGTTCAATCGTCTGGCCCCACGGTGTTCCTCGCACGAGCTCGGATGAAGCTCACAACAACTTCGTGTTCAACGACCTCGCTGTATTTTGAGCGGCGGGAGAGTTCGGATGATTGACATCTTGTCCCGCGTGACGCCATCGTTGCGAGGGTCCAATGAGCACGCTCTGCGAACTTCGGCACCAACTTTGTGTTCGAAGAGGTTAGCGACTCAGGAGCACGACACACCGAACCTACTGACGAGCCGCATGGGCCACTTCCGACCGCGCGGTAATTACGAACCCGGTATCTCGTGGATACGAGTGGCAGAAGCCGAAAATATATCAAAGATAAATTAAGTAGCATACGTTTGTAAAATGACAACATGTATATTTTAAAAAAAGGCGGTGTCGTTAGGAATTTTCTACGGATGTTTTGATATTCGTGAAAGACTCGCCGACTCGCTTCGAGCACACATGCGGAAAGTTACCTTGACCGGTCTATTTATTGTTTAGGCATGTTCTTCAGATTTAAATCAAAGACAACTTTTTTCAACTCGTTTCATTACTCAGTAAACTGTAAAACTTGTCAAGGATTCGGTTGTTCCGTCCTGCAGCGCGAGACTGAACCTGTCGATGTGCTACACCGATACCGGCACACCACCGTTTAATACATATAGCACGTCAATTCGTCTTCAGGCGAGAAGCATGAACGAACCTTTCCCGAAATCTTAACTGATGTTTCGTGTTTTAAATCAAAGTATATCTATTCGCTGGGGCTCGGCAAACCATTCTAAAAAAAGCAGCGGTCCGACTGTCTTTTCATTTCGACCGTTTTTTCTGACCCCGAGCTATCGGCACGCTACCGTGCGATAGATGAATTCGTTTTCAAGCAATATGCATGAACAAACCTTTCCAGCAACGCTAACTGACGTTTCGTCTTTCCAATCTAAGTATCTTTATTCGCTGGGCTGAGCATTCCAAAAAAGGGCAGTGGTCCGAATGTCTTCTCATCTCAAAAACTTTTTTCTGTCGCTGTGCTATCGACACGCTACCGTTTGGTAGATCATTTCGTTTTCAGGCGAGATGCACGAACAAACCTTACCCGGAGCGCTAATTGCGGTCGTGGCGTTCATATAAAATAGTTTTTACGTGCTAAGTTAAGCACTCTTCAACTGAAAAATGGCAGCGCTCCGGAAGTGGTCTTTGTTTCGAAAACATTTCTGGTTGGCGCAGCGATCTTGTTCGTGGACGTAACATCACGGAGCGCGAAGAAATCAGTCGGTGCACGAGGAGCACGCCAGAGTGTCAGTCTCCGGCGGCGCTCCTGTCCCTCTAGTGAACGGTGTGCCAAACACTCGCGCTCCGGAGAAGGGAATAAACGCGCCCCTTTGGTGGACTTACGGCTCGTTACCTTTAGCCAAGAGTATTTATGTGATACTGCATGAAACTGCGGTGCTCAGAACTCGTCTCGACTGGTGTGTTTAACGCTTCACTGACTTGTGCATCGAAAGTGGTCGGGAAGTGGCAGCAAATGACGTCACAAAAGCGGGAGTGTAACGCTGTCGCATATAGCGTTCTTAGTAATTAATCACAAAAATTCCGCCAAAAAAAAGAAAAAAAGAAAAGCTAGTGTCATTGTCGTCACTGCGTGCCTACTCCCGGCTTCCGAAGCTTTCGAGAACTGTCAAGAGGGTGGAGAGTGACTTGCAGCAGAACACGCGTCTGCCCCACCTACCACAGTAGCTGTGACACCGCTACGATCGCGTCCGGCGACAACATGGCGCTTCTTTGAAGTCACCAGGCGGAAATCGAGGGACCACTTTTTGGACGCGGCAAAAGGCTACAGTGGGAGACGCGTTCCAGGCAATGTACTGTGACGCCAAGTGACGCTAAGTGGCACCATTGCATCACGTAACACTGTGACGCCACGTAGCCCCGTGGCGTCACAATTCCAGCTAAATTTATCGGGGAAATTTCCCTTAAATTAGCGGGAGGTGATTGATTGCTACAGAAACTATAAGTATACAACCACCCTTGTTTCAACTTAGCGGTGGAACGAAAGATACACCTTTCCGTTGCTCTTCGTGTGAGCACAATATGCAGAGTTGTACAGGACCGTAGGATGATAGGCAGAAGAAAGACAGTGTGCATTTTCAAAAAGCAGTCCACAGCGCAGTACAAAAAAAAATATAGCAGCTTGCAAACAACAATGCACAACATTTTAAATAGAGGCAAAAATTATTTGGAAATACAAATACAAGAATACATTTTAGGGAGAGCAGAAATACAAATACAGAAATACTGATACTGCAATACATTTTTTAAATTTGTTTGAGACACCAAATGAGATGAAGTTGGAAGTTGGAAGTGGAAGTTTTTGATCCTGAAATTACTTTCCCGTAGGCTTGGCACTTTGCCTTGAAGGTAGTGATTTCGGACGACGAGGAGTCTTTAGTGGGCTCAAAAAATGTTCCATCAAGGAGTGACCGCGGTCCCTTCCCTGACATCCTGTCTGTCTGACGAGGGATGCAAAAAGACTTCGACCTCTATATAAATTTGATGCCATCCTAAATTGCACCAAACGATGGTCTATAGGGACACGAGCGCATGCCTCGTTCTAAGAGCACATCAAGCTTTGCGGGGCTTTCGGCTAGTCGGCTGACGCCACATGTGTAGTCATTCAAAGCTTAAAGAAAAGTAGGGCATTTTAAGTTCATGCTTCTCACTCCCTCATGCGTTATTCGGCGTCCTTCCCGGCCAATGCCGAATTCTCATTGGCTTCTCTTCGATAATAAGATGCACAAAACTCGCGAACCCCTACGCTCTTTTTTAAATACCAATGACTTTAATATTACGCGTCAAACATTGCAGACCTGCCACTATTGCAGTAGATTATGCGTGTGTGTTTGGGGAGGTGGGGAGGGGGAAGGGCAGAGTTATAAATATCGTATACCCATCAGTGCCAGCGCTCCATCCAACTCTTCTCTCAGTATCGCGAGCATTTTCCTTACGCCAGGTTCCCCCTGAAAAGGTATAAAAAAGAACAGGTTATCCACTCGCGCCTGGAACACTAAGACTCGGCAGAACAGTCGGGGAAATTCCTGACTACCGCGATTGGTCAGCCCTGGCCAATCGCGGCGGTCGGAAATCTCGCCGACATTCTCGCCAGATATCCATCTTAGGACCCCAGGGCCGGTTTGCTCATCTTGCGGCTGCGGACGCGGCCGCGGCCAGGGGGGATTTTTACGTCACGTGACCAGCTCCATGGGGACAAGGAAGTACCTAGCGTCCCTGCCTAATGGCGGAGAGATCCGCATCGCTTCAAGCACAAAAGCCTAATTTCGCTCGCAGAAACTGATGGGAGGGACTTTCAACTGGAATCCAATTGACCGCCCCTTTATACTGTAGGAGCGGCAGGTAAAGTTACGGCCAGGGAGGACAAATAGGAGCCAAAATAAAGAAAAAACCACACGAGATAAAAGCGGTAGCAGTATTTTATATACCTCCGCCGGGACCGCGCTTCGCGCATTCTGCTGTGGTCGAGGAGTGTCCACTTCCGGCTGCCGAGCGCGACGGACGTGTTATCATGTGCTCCGTCGGAGCGGCAAAAACGGCCGTGTCAGGCCGTGGTACATCTGTTTCTGGAAACCCGGAGGAATACAAGATCATCCTGCCCACTCTGCCTACTGGATACGTTGCCACCAACTCTGTTATTCTTCACTGCGATGTGAAAGGCCGGCCATACCGGATCCAAGACTTTCGCGACGAACTGCGGCGGCTGGAGGTGCTGAAAGACCTGGCGTCGGCGGGGCCGCACCAAATGAATCACGTGTGGATGCTCCGACTGCACACGCTCCAAGCGAAGCAAAGGTTAGTGGATGCAAAAGAGTTGACCGTGAAAGGGGGGCGTTGCCTCGTGCTGGACCCCGCCAACGCGGCGGTCAAACTCAAGCTGCATTGGGTGCCTTACGACGTGCCGAACTGCCAAGTAAAGAAAGAGATGGAGCGGTATGGCAAGGTGTCTGACATAACCAGAGACTTCTTCCGGGAGAAGGGTTTTGAGGCTGTCGAGTCGAACACCCGGTCTGTACGCCTGACCCTCAAGGAAGGCTACACCACCGACAGCCTCCCCCATGAAATCCGTCTGGAAGGATGCAAGGTCCTTGTTGTCGTACCAGGACGGGCCCCGCTGTGTCTTAGATGCAGGCGGAAGGGGCACATCCGACGAGACTGCCGCGTCCCGCGCTGTACAGACTGTCACCGGTACGGCCACGAGACGGACGACTGTGTTAAGACGTACGCTTCTATCGCCCGAGACCGCAAGTCGGAGGACAATTCCGACTACGTCATGGACGACGCTGAAGCCGAGGAAGCCGTAGGAGGGTCACCGCCCACCGCCCTGACACGGACGGAACCAAGCGGAGCGTCGAAACCCAACGACGACGGGGACCCTGACGCAGCGACTCCATCACAGGATCCTGAGGCGACGGTGCAGGTGCAAGTCTTGACCGGTGAGGGAACGAAGGAGCAGCTCGACGGTCAGAAAGCGTATCGTGAACGTGCGGCAACGACGGTAGGCCATCCTGGACACGACGACAGCAACGGAGGAGCGGATGACAGCAAAGACGTCGACATGGACTCAAGTCTGACCGGGAAGCGACCGGCTGTTGCACCAGAACCAGCCAGCGGGACTGCTACTCATGGGACAGCACCCAAAAAGAGTCGTGCAGTGAAACCGCGTTTTTCGACGGAAGACCGTCGCAAAGAAGACTCGCTGTGAGTTTCCACAATCACCCCGGTGTTTTAAGTCTCCGGATACAGGATGAGGCTCAGTTGGGTAGCGTTCCTTTCTATTCGATTTAATTTCAATGCTCAACGACTCGAGCAGTTTTTTATTTAACGAGTCCGTACGATTCGCGACTTTAAACGTACGTGGCTTAAACGCACGGAAGAAACAATACCAGCTGCAGCGACTACTGGCTGAAGAGAAAATTGATTTTCTAGCGCTCCAGGAGACAAAAATGGCCTCCGACGACGAAATAGAACAAGCGCTGCGGCCTTTCTTGAGCCGTTACGAGGTGTGCGTCAGTCACTCGAATGGGATGTCGGCAGGCTGTTTTTTGTTTTTGGCAAAGTCAGTGCCACTGCGAGACTTGAATGTCGTCGTTGATGAGCTGGGGCGCTTTGTTTTGTGCGACTTCACTTTATTTAACCGTGACTGGCGAGTCATGTGCATCTATGCGCCCAACAGAGCGAACGAGAGAGTATTGTTCTTTCAGTTTCTAAGCTCGTACATGCAGTGCGACAGAATAGTGGTTCTTTTGGGAGACTTCAATTGCGTATGCAGCCAGGCTGATCGAAGTTCAGGCGTGTCGTACCGAGATAGCAGCGTAGAATTACTAACCGAAATGTTGCAAGAACACGATCTGGAAGACGTAGCGCGCTCGAGGGCCAATCGCGACACTCTCCGTTTTACTCATTTTCAAAGGTCATCTAACGCGCGTCTAGATCGAATCTACATGTCGGCCGAAGTAATCACCAATGTATCAGGCTACGTCGTGAAGCCCCTTTTTTTCACAGATCATTGCTTAGTCACTGTGACTCTGGGAAACAACAAGCAGCCTAAGAACAAATTTAGTTGGGACTTGTGGAAAATGAACAACCGGTTGCTAGACGACGCTGTTTTTGTTGAGAGCGCAATAGAGACGCTAAAGAAAATTGCCTCCGGAAAAGAAACATCCTTCCTTGAAAAATGGGAATATTTTAAAGAAGAGGTCAAACAAACGGCAATTGAAAGGTCTTCCTACTTAAAGTACGTGCCAAAAAAGAAGGAGAAAGAATTGCAGAAGTATTGGCATGAACTTTTTGAAAAAGAAGATAAAAACCCGTGCACGAACGTGGCAGAAATAAAAAAAGTGAGAAGCCAGTTAGATAACTTACACCAAGAGCGTTATCGCGGTGCGATCGTGCGAGCTAGAGCAGATAAGTTTCTGTTGGGCGAGCAGCCCACTCGACGTGCCCTGGCCGAAGAAAGAAAGTACGCGCAAGATAAGGAAATCACGATGATTAGTCACAATGGTACTATAAGTGGTGACAAAACGTTTATAGAGAATGCCTTTCTTGAATATTATAAACAGCTATTTGGAGGCTGCCAGCAGCAGATTAACACGGATGAGATTGACAGCTTACTCCAAGGAACACCACAGCTTACAGATGAAGAAAAAGAGTGGTTGGAGGGACCAATTACGCTCGGAGAAATAGAACGCGCAATAGCTGGTTTGCCGGCGCATAAAACGCCCGGACCTGACGGCATAAGTGCCGAATTTTATCAAAAGTTCAAAGATTTAGTAGCCCCTTTTTTTCTGGAAGTCTTTCGCGAGGCGTATGAATTCAAAGCATTACCACCTTCCTTTCTGAAAACGTATACTGTGCTTATACCGAAAGGCACTGACGCGAATGCGGCAAGGCGCGTAAGTGAGTACCGACCGATCACTTTATGCAACGTCGATTATAAAATTTTTGCACGGGTTTTAACTAAGAGACTCCAGCAAGTCATATGTAATTTAGTAGGTGAACACCAAACATGTGGCATACGGGGAAGGTGTATCCAAACAAACATACATGTCGCACGAACAATTTTAGACACTGTTAGCAACGAAGGAGGCCAAGTGGCGATGCTGCAGATAGACTTACAGAGGGCCTTTGATCGTGTCCGACACGAGGTGCTCTGGAAAGTGCTAGAACGCGGTAATGTAGGGGCAGTTCTTTTGGAGGGAGCACGCATGTCGTACGCTGGGTGTGTTACACAATTAGTTATCAATAATTCTTTGACCCCTAAAATACCTGTATCTTCCTCCGTGAGACAGGGGTGTCCCATGTCACCGTTGCTGTTTGCGTTGTACTTAGAGCCCTTTTGTCTGAGTGTTATTCAAAGTGAAAAAGTGCACGGTTTTAGAATGGACTCAGTTGAGACAAAAGTGTTGTCTTACGCAGATGATATTGCCGTATTTTGTAGTGACAAAAGAAGCGTAGAGGAAGTTTTAAAACTGACACAGTCATTTTGCGCCTCCACGGGTGCCGTAGTGAACCTCGATAAGTGCTCCGGCGTTTGGCACGGTACCTGGGCTACAACACCAGCTTTGTACGAAGGTATTCGATGGCAGTGCACCCCGTGCAAGTATCTGGGAGTCCCACTACAGCACCTGAGGAAAACAAAGCCTTACTGGGAAAATGCCGTTGAGGACATAAAGAAACGCACCGCCTCATGGCGTAATCGTGACCTGTCTATTTTTACGCGAGCAACCGTGTGTAACATCTTCCTGACCGCGAAGATTTGGTATGTCCTACAGGTGCTATGCTGCCCCAGAATCTATATCCAGAAGATGCACCGCGTGTTCGCACTATTTATCTGGTTGTCATCAAGCGAACCGATGTGTCGGGACAATCTGTTTCGTCGTGTGTCCAAGGGAGGGGTTGGACTGTCGCATCTTTTTATTCGTCAAACTGTGTCGCGGTTTCTTTTTCTGCGTGATCAGCGACACCCCCTTTTACGAACGATGTTTCAGACAAGGCTCAGGGACGCCCTACCGTCCTTTTTTGTCGCGTCAGACTCGGGGCCCCCAGCCAAACCAGTTGGGTTTATAAAGGAAGTTATAGAAGCCTTTCATTTTTTGGACGTAAGATTTTCACGGGAATATTTATCAACAGTATCGCGCAAAAAGTTGACGCGCGACCTCCTCGAGTTGTTATTCCCTGCTCCGTTGTATAGACTTCCTTATGTTTCGTGTCCGGGACAAGATGTTCTTGCCCGGGTAAAGAAAATGTGCGTCCCGCCTTGTGTCAAAACCTTTTTCTTCCGCCTCCATAGTGAAACGTTGCCTGTGAAGGTATGGCTCGATAGACGAGGCATTTACGTCCCATGGAGTGTAAATTGTCTACTTTGCAAACAACCGGAGACGATTGAACATGCATTCTTGTACTGCTGGGATGCAGTGTTCTTCTGGGACGTTTTGCAGCGGACTTTGAAAAAGGATTTACAGGTCAATCCTTTTTCAATTCGCTTCCTCCCGGTGGAAAAGCATCAAAGCGTACCCTATGATATGTTTATGGTATTAGGATTGCATAGCCTTTGGAAGTCTCGCATGGCGGTGCGCCACGCAGAGCAGCACCCTAAGTCGGCCCGCCTGTTTTTTGTTGAACTTGTTGTCCAAGTGAAGAGCGTTGTTGAACGTTTTGAAACCCCGCCAGAGTGGTTTAACCTGTTAGAAGAACTAACAGGAATGAAGGAATTTTAATCCTACGGACGGCTCCAAGTCGGAGTACATGGGTTTTTAATATCTGATGTGCGACTTGTGCGCAATAAAGAAAAAAAAAAAAAAAAAAAATTCTGCTGTGGTCGAGAGGTTAAAGCGCCGGTACTTGTCGTCGCGGCGTGAAAGTTCCGAGTTCAAATCGCGCTAGGGACATCTTTTTTTTATTATTATTTTGCGCGTGTCTTACTTTTTAACTGTGATACTTTTTTCGAAATCATCCACTTGCACTACTGCGCCTTACACGCTTTTACTGTTAGTCCCACCTGTTCAATCGAAACACCGGGAAGGAGAAAAAAAAGATCAACGCAAGTTAACGCGCTAATACAATCATTTCATAATGTTCATTAAAAGGAAACCAAGCTAACAGCATCAGTATGGCTTTCACACAAGCGGAGCCGAAACAAGCATCCTTTCCCCAGCATTTACAATTTTATCTGTTTTTAAATAACGCTCTTGCTACGATTCGTTTCAATGACAAGAGACGCCTATTTAGGTCTAATAAAAACTGCAGTTGTAGAAATTTAAAAAAATCCGAAAAACAAGCAAAAAAAAAAAAGACTAGCAGCTGTGGATACATTGATTGAGCGAAATCCTACAGGCAAGGCAGCAGGTCAAACGTCTGAGAAAGTAGTAAAACCAAAATAAAAGAGATCATACTTTTACTTGCATGGAATGAGATAAAAAGTATATTTATACTCTTTACATTTTGTTGTGGCAATCGTTTTGTAATATTAACACATTACTTGTTGAATTTTAGTTAGAATAGTAGACGATCACGACCAAATGCGTTTGGTTTGCATTTGGTCGTGATCGTCTGCTATTCTAACTAAAATTCAACAAGTAATGTGTTAATATTACAAAACGATTGCCACAACAAAATGTAAAGAGTGTAAATATACTTTTTATCTCATTCCATGCAAGCAAAAGTATGATCTCTTTTATTTCGGTTTTACTACTTCCTCAGACGTTTGACCTGCTGCCTTGCCTGTAGGATTTCGCTCAATCAATGTATCCACAGCTGCTAGTCTTTTTTTTGCTTGTTTTTTTTATTTTTTTTTAATTGCTACAACTGCAGTTTTTATTAGTCCTAAATAGGCGTCTCTTGTCATTGAAACGAATCGTAGCAAGAGCGTTATTTAAAAACAGATAAAATTGTAAATGCTGAGGAAAGGATGCTTGTTTCGGCTCCGCTTGAGTGAAAGCCATACTGATGCTGTTAGCTTGGTTTCCTTTTAATGAACATTATGAAATGATTGTATTAGCGCGTTAACTTGCGTTGATCTTTTTTTTCTTCTTCCCGGTGTTTCGATTGAACAGGTGGGACTAACAGTAAAAGCGTGTAAGGCGCAGTAGTGCAAGTGGATGATTTCGAAAAAAGTATCACAGTTAAAAAGTAAGACACGCGCAAAATAATAAAAAAAAAAAAAAAAATGTCCCTAGCGCGATTTGAACTTGGAACTTTCACGCCGCGACGACAAGTACCGGCGCTTTAACCTCTGGACCACAGTAGAAGGCGCGTAGCGCGGCCCCGGCGGAGGTATATAAAATACTGCTACCGCTTTTATCTCGTGTGTTTTTTTTCTTTATTTTGGCTCCTATTTGCCCTCCCTGGCCGTAACTTTACCTGCCGCTCCTACAGTATAAAGGGGCGGTCACTTAGACTCCAGTTGAAAGTCCCTGCAATCAATTTCTGCGAGCGAAATTAGGCTTTTGTACTTGAAGCGATGCGGATCTCTCCGCCATTAGGCAGGGACGCTAGGTACTTCCTTGTCCCCATGGAGCTGGTCACGTGACGTAAAAATCCCCCCTGGCCGCGGCCGCGTCCGCAGCCGCAAGATGAGCAAACCGGCCCTGGGGCCTTAATTTGTAGACTTGGCGAAAACGTCGGCGAGAAATCTGGTGACTGTGATTGGCCGGCGCTAAGGTCAAGTCTGGCGTCGGCCAATCACAGCCGCCTGATTTCTCGCCGACTTTCTCGCCAAGTTTCCAGATTAAAACTGCTGGTTTGAATCAGATGTAAGAGGTGGAGTTCCCAACCTTCATTTGAAAGTATTTATGCCGGATGATTGCACACAAATACCTCTTGAACGAAAGCGTTTTCCACGCCGGGCCTTTGCGCGCAGAAGAAAGGCGCGGTCGCGCGCTTCGCGGCTTGCCTCTTTCATGCAGCGCCATCTCACGGCGTGCGTCAGAAATGAGAGCGAACCCACCGTGGCCGTGGCTCCTACGAAGTAGAAGGCAGCAGAACGTGTGCTAGCTTATCGGAAACGTAAGAAACGGCTGGAGCAATCAGCCTTTATCAGGGGCCCCGAGGACGAAGATCGATAAGCGGAAGGCCAATCACAAACCTTCGGCTTACCAGTCTTTGTCAGCATGATCAAGATTGTATAATATATTAGAGCTTTTGTCTTTCCCACTAGCAGATGGCACACTTCCCCTACGAGATAGCTGATCTAACACCAGGGTTGGGCAGAAATACTCAAAAATGTATTTGGAAATACAAATACTGGGATACATTAAAATAGTAGCTAAAATACTGATACTGAAATATATCTGTAGAAGTGTATCGCGATACGTATCGGAAATACATTTTAAATAGAGGCAAAAATTATTTGGAAATACAAATACAAGAATACATTTTAGGGAGAGCAGAAATACAAATACAGAAATACTGATACTGCAATACATTTTTCAAATTTGTTTGAGACACCAAATGAGATGAAGTTGGAAGTTGGAAGTGGAAGTTTTTGATCCTGAAATTACTTTCCCTTAGGCTTGGCACTTTGCCTTGAAGGTAGTGATTTCGGACGACGAGGAGTCTTTAGTGGGCTCAAAAAATGTTCCATCAAGGAGTGACCGCGGTCCCTTCCCTGACATCCTGTCTGTCTGACGAGGGATGCAAAAAGACTTCGACCTCTATATAAATTCGATGCCATCCTAAATTGCACCAAAATGTCACCATGCCCCTGTCCAATAAAGACGCCCCTGTCAACATTGATCGCATGACTTCACGGTGGAATGAACTGGTATTCTTTATCTGTAGTTGTGACCTTGAACATGAAACTTTACCAGGCTGCTGTATGAAAGGACAATACGTGCTTTCGTTGTAGGTTACCTCATTGAAGATCGTGCAGGCAGCGTCATTTAGAATTTTCGAGAATAGTGGACCACCTGAAGCCACCTGGAACACGTGTCTTATATTCTGTTACGGTTGAAAAAACGATACTGTGGCATCCCTGTTGTGATGGATTGCAGTCCTCAAGTTTCGTCTTGCGTACAGACGCATGGATTGCAGTCCTCAAGTTTCGTCTTGCATACTCCAAATAGGAACCTCATGGATTGCGACCTTATATTGCCGGCACAAGTGTGAGCTCTTCGAGAAACAGCGCGCTCGAGACGAGCCGCAGGTGTACGAAGTCTGGGTCGTCACAGCGAGGCCAAGTCTGACCTCCTTTCTGGGTTCGCATCACTAGAGCAGCGGGTCCCTTTCACATAGGCTGATGACGTACCCTTGAGGTGTGCAATATTACGGCCGCAGCCGCAGACGCATTCGAATATGTGTTGAACTTCACTGCGTGAGTCATCCTACGTTTTCAAGTCAACCACCACCAGGCTCGGGCTGCAACGGACTCTGACTCAGCTTTGCCGGCTGGGTGTACTGTGCACGCTAAGGCAATAGAGACGGTTAGCAGCGAGCTTTGGATGACAGCAAACAATAACTCAAGAAACCCTTACCTAAACAAAATACATTTCACCCTGATTGTATTGCGATACAAAGGAACATTCAAAATGTATTTCGATACAGGAATACAGATACTGGTGAAAAAAAATGTATCGCGATACAGAAATACAGATACGAAATTTATTTCTGAAATACTATCGCGATACATTTCTATCGCGATACTGCCCAACCCCCTGTCTAACACCCTCTTTATTATAGTTCACACGCCTTGATTAGTGATTCGCTCTTCGACTTCCTTATCCGCTAATACTACCGTGTCATTGGCGGCAGAGCGAACACTAAATGCTAGGCACTTGTCACACTTTGCAGTGCTTAGGCTGTCGCTGACTGTAAAATTTCAAACAGTGCCCTTTTGTATGAGCTGCCGCCAGATTGGAGGAGTTTATCTCACTGAATATATCTTGTAATTCGATAGATTTTCATCGGCTGCCTAAGTACTCTTTTTGACAAAGTTAGATATTTTTGTGCACATTTAAATTTGTATTAAGGCACCAAGACAAATGTTTGTAGCACTGCGTTATTAATTTATGCATGTCTTTGGCAAACAACGAAAGGCATCTTCAAAACGAAAAGATTTCGGACGTTCAGTCATCTGCACGAAGAACGGCACTTTGTTCCCTTAAAATTATTTCAGTATTCTATTCATCGACAGTTGTGTGAAATCGCTGCAAACAAAATCTTTCAGCCTTTAACAGTCTTCAACTACACAAAGTTACGGCTTTGCTATTAAATTTCGTTCACGCGTGCTAATCTTGCAACTTTATTGTAAACAGGCTAGGATAAATAAGTATTACCTGGCACCTCCCTTATTCTTAAAAGAAGATTCAGGTAATGTTGTTGTTGTTGGTTTTTTACAGCTTTTCTGATTTTTGTAGGCCGTTACAAGACGAACTCTTTCTAAAAATGTTGCTGAAGTCGGGGGCAGTCGTCTTACGTTGTACGCCAGACCCCAGAGGGCAGGACGACCGACAAACACGGCCTTGGCTCCAAGCGCCAGGGCCTTGACCACATCGGTGCCGCGACGGACTCCGCCGTCCACGTAGACCTCGACGCGTCCACGAACCGCACTCACAATTTCTGGGAGGACTTCAATCTGCAAAGAGACGGCAACCAAGATAGCTTTGCTTTAAACCCCGTCTATACGGAAAGTAGCGAGCGCCATTGATTGATCCTCCGACACACCCGCACCCTCTAAAAAAATCCTCCTCCTCCTTTTCAAAGTTCTGCTTTCCACTACCACTGAACGGCCGAGCGTCCACCCGGTTTCGGTTGGTTACTTCCCTCCCGTCTGCTTTTTGTGCCCTCCCGTGTTTAGGCCTCGCATCCCCCGCGGCGTCCATACGTATAAATACAACGTTGCCAACCGCCCGTAAAATATTTTTTTTTTGTAGGGCGTATGTTGTGTGATTTGCTTTTCGATACGTTATCAAACTGCCGCTACGACGTGGCCTTACTAAATAAAATCCGCCTGTTTACAAAACGCTGTTTTACGTTGTTGATTTTTGATTTCGTCGTCACTTCAGGGTGTAAAAGCAGACGCAAAAACGCTCAAGAAGTAATGATATTTCCTGTCAACTTTATTGAAACGAGCGTAGAATTACAGCTTCGCATTTCACAACAGAGAGGTGTGCTCGTTCATCGCCTTGGCTCCCCTGTCTGCTGAAGAACAAAAAAAAAAAAAAAAAGATTAGGACGATCTTTCTCACAGTTCAATTTTATCGTGTGCATGTTTACAAATCCAAAGATTGCATCTGATTTTAAAACGAATGATCCGAGCAAAGACAGAGCCGATTGTTGTGTAGCGTGGCGAGAGGGCGACTTACCGGAGCCAGAAACCTAGTACGTTACGCCGAGGTAGCCATATTTATAGAATGTCTTTCTTTTCTTTCTCCTCCTCTAGGACAGACCTCGTTTCTGCTGGTCCCTAGATGGCAGCATTATTCCACATCCCCCCTTTTTTATGGGATAGCCGTAAGGTCTGCTACTGAATATATCGCTGTTGGGTTTTCAGACATCGGCCACTTCTGCTGTGTAGGTGCGAGTTGTCCCCACATCTTGTTGGACATTGTTCCGATCCATCGTCGTCTGACGCACGTGTTGCCGGTTCCGATTGGTTCGGCGAGGCAGGAGAAGGCGAACAAGGAATTAGATCTGTTCTGTTTCTCCTGACTGGACCTTCTTGGTCCAGTCAGAAGAAAGCCAGGAGTCACACCTCTGAAGGTCCTGACTGGACCTTCAGAGGTGCGACGGTGTACAGTTCCTCTCCTTTCCAGGTCACCGACCCAGGCTTCTGTGCCGTCGACGATGTCGCCAAGGTCTTGTACTCCATGTCGGCGATCATAGGCTTTGCCTTGTTTCACGCAAGCTTTCCTTCATATTTTCGTAGCCGTGTCATGTCCGGAGTTGACGGAACCAACGTCTTCTTGACTGTTGGGATCGTGGACCGGAGTCTCCTTCCCATTAACAGTTCAGCTGGGCTGTACCAATTGTTCAGTGGTGTGGTCCTGTACGCAAGTAGTGTTTTGTATGGGTCTCCAGTCTTCCCCATCGACTTTTTGATAATCTTAACTGCTGCTTCAGCCAGACCATTGCTTTCCGGGTAATGGGGACTGGATCTGATGTGTTGGAACCCGTACTCTTGAGCAAATGTGGAGAATGCTGACGTTTTCACGCGCAAAAACTGAGGGCCGTTGTTCGACACGACAACCTCAGGTATCCCATGGCGGGCAAAGATGCTCTTGCAGTGGCTAATCACTGTTTCAGAGGTGAGACTGCTGATCAGTGCTACTTCCGCGTACCCAAAGAAATAGTTCGTAACAATTAGCCACCACTTGTTGTGATGATAGAACAGGTCCATAGCCACACGTTGCCATGACGTTTCGGGGACGTCTGTTGGCAGTAGTGGCATCTTTCTGTTGCTTGACTTCACGGTGAAATGTTGGCACCTCTTTACAGTCTGTTCAACGTCCCTGCTGATGCCAGGCCACCACAAAGAGTGTTTAGCTCTGGCCTGTGTCTTGACAATTCCAAAGTGCCCTTTGTGTAGAAGACGTAAGGCCTTTTGCCGGCATTGCGCGGGCACGACGATCCTTGCGGTATACAGCAGGATGTCGTCTTCCAGCGTGAACTGATGCCGAAACTCGTAAAAGGGTTTGACATCGTTGTAAAGGTCACGGCGACTGGGCCAGGCCTGTTGAGAGTACTTGCGCAGTACTTGGCAGACAGGATCAGTTTTCTGGTTCTTGATGAGCCACTGTAAGCATGGTTTTTCCACAGGACTGTTGGCTTTTACTTCACGTACGTCAGCCCCGACCTCTTGCTCAAGGTCCAATGAGTCAGTTTCTTGGAGAGGCGATCTGGAGAGTGTCGGCAGCGAGAAGCTCTTTTCCCGGCTTGTATGTGATGATCTTTTTGTAACGCATCATGCGCATACGCAACCTCTGTAACCTTGGGGTGAGGTCATCGAGTGTCTTCGATAAGAAGAAAGGAACCAACGGCTTGCGGTTCGTTTCTAAAGTGAACTCCTTGCCGAAGAAGCAGTCATTGTACTTTTCACATGCCAAAACAAGGGTCAATCCTTCCTTCTCTATTTGAACGAAACGCCTTTCCGTCTCAGTTATGAGACTTGACGCGTAAGCAGTGACTTGGAACTTCCCGTCCTCTCGCCTCTGCCGCAGTACGGCACCCAATTCATAGGAAGATGCATCCGCAGTAACCACTTTCTCTGACGCAGGGTCGTAGACGCCGAGGACAGGATACTCTTCCATTTGTCAAAGGCTATCCTGTTTGGTCCCCAAACAAATTCTTGCTTCGAGCTGAGCATGGAGCTCAGTGGCTGAAGAACGTCGGCGAAGTTAGGTGAAAAAGCTGTACAATTCTCGTACTGCGTTTGCGTTTGCGTCATCTGGACGGGTGCCTTGATGGTCGATTCTGTGCCCCGGAAAGTGATCTCCTTAACTTGAAAGGAGCATTTGCGAAGGTTGAGAGTGACTCCTGTGGCTTGTAGTCGCTTAAGTACCTTACGGAGCCTCTCGTTCTCTTCCCGGTTGAAGCCCCAAACAAGGACATCATCCATGTGGCAGACTGCGCCGTCGATGCCGTTCAGGATGCTTGAAAACTGTCTCTGAAAATGTTCCGAGGCAGAGGAGATGCCGAATGGAAGTCTGTTAAAACAGAACCTCCCAAATGGCGAAATTAATGTTGTTGGGATCTTCCTTTCTTCACTGAGCGGTATTTGCAAAAACCCCGAGTTGGCATCGAGTTTGGAGAACACTCGTGCGCCCTGGAGTAGTGCCAGCGTGTTTTCACCCGACGTACTGGGGTGCCATTCACTCTTGACGTAACAGTTGAGTTTTGTAAATTCCACACAGATTCTCACTGTACCATCAGGTTTCGGTACTATCACCTTGGGCGCACATCAGTCCGTTGGCTTATCCACAAGAGATATAACTCCCATAGATTCCATCCGCTGCAGCTTCTTTGGTTTGCTGGTACAACGGTAGAGGAACACGGCGTGGGGAATTGAGTGCAAAGGGAGTTGCTCTGTTTTGAAGTTGCACGTGGTAGGCGACCTTGATGTGGCCTAATCCTTTGAAGAGAGCAGGGAACTCCTTTGTCACATTAAGTAGCGAGCTCCTTTGCGTTGGTGTGTTCTTTGTGGCAAGGCCGTCTACAAAAGAAACCACGTTTAGTGCTTCAATGGCGGGTCTGCCACACAATGGCGTGCGTAAATCCTCAAGGATGTAGACATCATGCAGTTATGTCGAGCCTTTGTAGGTCATGGTCAGTTGTTCTACTCCTTGGACTGCTAAGGGACTGCTGCCTGGGCCTTGAAGTTGTCCTGGTTCATGAAGCAGCGGTTCCCATTTTAGATTTCGGAACACGCTTCTCGGGATGATTGTCTCATCAGCCCCTGTGTCTATTCTGAAGTTGACGGGGTCATCTTGGAGCACCACCGTAGCTTACCACTTCTCTGCTTGTGGATGCGACACCCCTCCAATGAACCGGATCTCTTCGTCAGACCCGGAGACATGGTTGACCCGTTTGGAGAGACAGACTGAAGCGTAGTGACCTTTCTATTGCAGCTCTTGCACGTTTCGCAGCGGGCTGGACAGTCTCTCCTCGACTGCCGGTTTCGTCCGCACCAGTTGCACGATTGCTTGTCATTACAGCTTTAGATTCAGGGTTCCACGCGGCTGCAACAACCTTTTCCGTAGTGTGAGTAGACTGCTTAGATCGGTTGGACCCCGAGGCGAGCTTATTGATACTGCCGTTTAACTTCCCGTCCTACGTTAGCTCCACTTGTTGGCGGACACTTTCCTCTTGTCTTGTAGACTCGAGTGCCCTGCGTAGCGTTATATTAAAGTCTAGCTGGAGCTTGGCAGACAGTTTTTGTCTCGAATCCCGACCACAAGTCGGTCTCGGACAAACTGCTCTTGCGTGTCGCCGTACCCGCAGTGTTTAGACAGGCTGTGAAGCGCCGTCGCGAGTTCTTCCACGGACCCTCCTTCTTGCTGGACGTGGGTGTTAATTCGAGCTCGCTCGAATATCACGTTCCTCCGCGGTATGAAATATCTGTCGAAGCTGGCGATGACGGTTTCGAAAAGGCTTGTGCCGAGAGTTGGAACGAAGCGAAGACGTCTTCAGATTGATCGCCCATTAGGTAGAGTGTGGTATCTACCTGACGCTCTTCGGGTTTGTTCCTTAGTCCCGAGGCGTTGTGGAACCGCAGGAAGCGTCGTTTCCACTTGGGTCATTCGTGGGGGTTACTGAACGAAAATGGCTCCGCGGTTGAAGAACGAAGGAACCGTGCTGGGGGCCCGTTCCGGGTGTACCGTTGGCCATGGCCAGGAAGCAACTCAGCACGATCCCGCTTTTGGCACCATGTTGTGTATTGTGGCGAGAGGGCAATTTCCCGGAGCCAGAAACCTAGTACGTTACGCCAGCAAGCAAATTGTTGTGTGTATGTTTATGCAGTCGGAAGTTAGCCTCGCTCAGTGTGCGTCGGGTGTTTCAGCTGTAGATGAGCAATTTAGCCAGTGCGGTACAACCGCTAACCTGGGGCCTTTAACGTGCACCACGCAGTAGTGATAC